TTTCAAAGGAATCAAAGTCTCTGGATAGGCTCAAGCGAGGGGGCGACACATCTAAATCTCAATTCTATATGCCCAAAAAATCTCACACTAGCGAATCAATCTTCAACAAATCTTCTTTCAGTTCTCCAGGGGTTGAAACTGTTGACGTTTTTTAAGACACTCGCTTTGTTGTCGTGCGCGACAGTCTGTTTTTATTCGTACTCTTATGCAACACAACACAAACGGTAGAACAACATTCGAGCAAAAAGAAAACTTTCAAATAACTATCATATGACATGTGTGATTTGGTTCTAATTCCTCAATTTGGTGTAAACTAAAGCATTTCTGATCAGAAATGTCATTACTAGCACATCGTTGCTTGATATTTTCAGAATTCACACAAGCATAACATCAGCAGCTCTTATCATGAGAAAAAACTGAAATACATACATTCGTGATGGTCTTCGGCGACAGTGTCGTACGACAGAGCCTGTCATGTGACATTTTAGTTTGGTACTATAATTTGATAGCTTGTTTTGCAAGTGTCAGAAGCAAAGGCAGTCGATTATCACAGAAAATATGTCGACTACGGTGACCACTTACAAGACTGGTTATGACTGTTGATCTTGCAACAATGGAAGAGCAACAAACACAACATGCACAAGCATGCTATCAATTTTATGAGTTTCAAGCTGGAATGATTTCTTGGCGTTGTGAGTGTGAGTGCGTGTCCATTCCAGGGTGCCCAGTGAATTTGCATTTTGATTTTCCCGGTTTTTCCGGTTCAAATCTTAAAAAATTCCCGGTTGTTAATATTCAACAAAAAAAAACCAAATTGAACGCATTTTTAAGAACGTGCTAAAAGGAATTTACTTAAAGGAAAAGGATTAAAATAAAAAATGATTTAAGAAGATTCCCAAGATTCTTGGGCTTTAAAATTTGTGTAGAGTCTGAAACTAGATTTTTTTTAAATTTGTTATTATTAACAATCTTCGTGATGCAAGATTTGAAGAAAAAAAAAATTAAAATGTGAGATTTCGAAAAAATTTCCATATCACACATTTGAATAAAATTATATCATACTTATTAGTCGGGGAGTCATAATTGTCACGCTATGAGACTTGGAAGCATTTTAAGAGTTATAAAAAAATACAGAACAATCTATAGAATCTAGTGGACAAACCCTGGAATTTTTAGTAAAATTTAAAAGGATTCAAAGTGTTGATTTCGTACAAACATTGAGAAGGTTTACACACAGTTTTGGGAGGAGAAGTTCTGAGCAGAATTCCAGAATTAAAGGGTGATACGGTCAAAATTTGGTCAAGGGAAAACGCGTGTAAATCGGTGAAATCGTTTATTTAAAAAATCAAATTAAATTTCTTTTTCAAGTTCAATTAGTATAAAATTCAGGAAAAATATTCAGTTAGGCTTCCGCTTTTCCAAATCCGAATTGCCGGGCCTTACGCTTGACCCCTGCCATCAGATTTTGTACAGCCACCTTGTCCACCTTCTTCGCCGCAGAAAGCCAGTTTGCCTTGAACTGCTGCTCGCCCTTAGCAGTTTTTTTGGTCTTCTTTAGGTTCCGCTTGACAATAGCCCAGTATTTCTCAATTGGGCGGAGCTCTGGCGTGTTGGGAGGGTTCTTGTCCTTGGGAACCACCTGCACGTTGTTGGCGGCGTACCACTCCATGGCCTTTTTACCGTAATGGCAAGATGCCAAAGCCGGCCAAAACAGTACGGAACAACCGTGTTTCTTCAGGAAAGGCAGCAGACGTTTATTCAAACACTCTTTCACGTAAATTTCTTGGTTGACAGTCCCGGAAGCTATGAAAATGCTGCTTTTCAAGCCACAGGACCAGATATTTCTTTGCGAACTTTGACAGTTTCATGTGCTTGAAAACATCTGCTACCTTTCCCCTTCCTTTTGCCGTATAAAACTCCTGTCCCGGAAGCTGCTTGTAGTCGGCTTTGACGTAGGTTTCGTCGTCCATTACCACGCAGTCAAACTTCGTCAGCATCGTCGTGTACAGCCTCCGGGATCGCGCTTTGGCCGTCGTAATTTGTTTATCATCGCGATTTGGAGTCACTACCTTCTTGTAAGTCGATAGTCCGGCTCGTTTTTGGCTCGATGCACGGTTGTAGACGATACACCCAGCTTATTTGCGGCATCTCGGAGAGAGAGGTTAGGGTTTCGCTTGAAACTACCGGCAACTCTCTTTGTCGTCTCAGCGGCTTCCGGTTTTCGATTCCCCCCCCGATCCAGACTTCCTGGCTGTCGACAAACGTTCCCCAAACACTTTAATTACATTTGTAACGGTTGATTTGGCAACTTTTAGCGATTTTGCCAACTTAGCGTGCGAGTAGCTCGGATTTTCGCGATGCGCGAGCAAAATTTTGATACGCTGCTCTTCTTGCTTGGACGGCATTTTGACAACTGAAGAGTGAATTCCAAAATCAAAATAGGAGCAACATTCTACACACACACACCTTCAAAATGAGGGGTGTTCAGGTTTTTTAAATGCAAAATTGAAAGAAATACGTCAAGTTGATATTGACCAAATTTTGACCGTATCACCCTTTATTTTGACATGAAATCATTAGAAATTGTTAGATGAATTTGGAGGGATTTCTGTGGAGAAGAATGCATGTTCTAAATTAAACTGTTGGGTAATTTTAAAAGGAGTTGTGAAAAACAAAATTTTGCGGAAAATTCCTACGTTATTCGGAGGAGATTTTTTATGGGGATCATGAGAAAAATTTAAGATGACGTTTAAGAAGAATTCCAGGAGAATTATGATCAGAATTCAACAAGAAACATAGTTCTAAGAGTGTTTTGGCAATAATTCTTAAAAAAAATTGAACAGATTTTCAAAGGAATCAAAGTCTCTGGATAGGCTCAAGCGAGGGGGCGACACATCTAAATCTCCATTCTATATGCTCAAAAAATCTCACACTAGCGAATCAATCTTCAACAAATCTTCTTTCAGTTCTCGCTTCTACTTGCATCGCGCATCATCTTTTTGCAGCAAATCTTCAGAATCGTCATCAATCTTCTTTTTATCTACTCAGCGTACGCGCAGCTAGCCACAGCAAAACACAATCTTTCCTGCATCGTAAATAGAGTCGCTCCATTCGGGCTCAAGGGAATTCCAATTAAATTCTTAGAAGGGGTTGCAAGGTAATTCAAAAAAAAAAATCCACGTGTAATTATTACGTTTAGTGTTTTCTGGTTTATTTCCGAACAATTTCAAGATATTCAGAGCAGAATTCGAAGTTAATTCTATGGATTTTTTAACAACAAAAAATTAAAACCCCGGAAAAGAATAATTCAGTTTTGGTTTTTACAAATATTTGTTTCCAAAGTCCAGCATCTTCAATATTTTCTTTTAAGGACCATGCACTTTCATCTGAAATTGAATTGACAAAAATCAATTTGCAATATTGCAGAGTGATTAAATTGTAAAAACAATAAGACTGAAGGGAAACTGAAGAAAATTATGCAGCAAATAGAGCAAGACATTCATTTGGTAAAGGATCACTCTGTTTTCCCGGTTTTCCCGGTTTGCTGACCACCCTGCCATTCATTGTCATATTCACACGCGAGTTTATTCTCTCAGGGAGGGTCAATTAATGAGATTTAAGAATGATTCTCCGAACACCGACAAAGATATATGTAGAGTAAATTTTAAAAAGTTTCTGGAGCGAATTCCTTAAGTGGTCTGCACAAAAGTACGGCCCTTAAGTGTTAGGTTCCATACACAGAAATATAAGATCCAGGATTGATTCTTGGTTACTATGATGCACCACGTCTTGTTTTCATTTCATGCAATGGTTTTATGAAACTATTGGTACATGATATGTAATGCTGCTCCTACAGTTATGTAATGAACTAGCCTTCGGAAAAAAATCACTTTAATAAAGACAAAGAAATGCGACTAGGATAAAATCCATGTCAATTTCTTATGACACTTCAGAGATATTGGTTTTCAAAGACTGTTTTGCCCAAATGCCCTGGGCGGTAAAGGGTTAACAACAGTGACCAAGATTATGAGAATTCAGTTGAGCATAAATTTTAAGATCCTGGACTTGGAATTTTTTTCAAGATGATGGAGCTAGGTTCAAATTTTTAAGAGGAATATTCGAAACATCGGAATTGGAATGCTTATTTTAAAAATATATACAGTGTATCGCAAAATTGAGCGAGATTTTTTTTAAACATTGTGAATATCTATATATATTGTTTTAAACTTGGCTTTATTGGAAGAAACCATATGAAGTTAGATTTATTTTAGTAAAACGCTCGATTTTCAACTTTTTACCTATTGGACGAATTTTAGAAAAAAAAATGGAATATTAATGATCATTATTATAACTAAAAATGAGCAAAATTTAAAGAAGTTTAGTTCACTGTATTTTAAGATATTCAAGAAAAAAGCGTTTTTCACAAATAGCTCTTACTTTTAATAAACGCAACCAAATAAACCAAATACTGTACCAATAATTTATAAATGTATGACCATTTCAGAAATGTATATCTTTAAATTGGAATTTTACAACTATTTTTTTTCTAAAATTTAAGGACATCTGTACGCTCAATTTTGAGATACACTGTATATATCAACGTTCAAATCAAATTCCCGGTTGTTTTAGCATCCCGGTTAATTCCCGGTTCTCCCGTTTCAATGGTCACCCTGTCATTGATATGTCAGCTTCTAATACTCACATTTTATAAAACCGTTTTATCAATTTATGAACGTGTGCCATTTGCCATACTCAAATCCCATAAAAATTTTGAGATTCGTCAGTGCCTAGGGAGGGGCCCATTTGTTACTAGGGGAGAGAGTCCATTGTTGTGTCGAAACGAAATGGCACCTCCAATCATAATGGAACGTTAAAATCAAAAATCATTCCCTTTCTACCCACCATCTATCAACCGGCACCGACCGCTTGACTGACGAGTAATTCAACGTTTGATTGCCATCGGTGTGATCAATATAAATCAGAACGGTAGCGCTTGAAGTCTATGGAAAAGCCCCTATCTTCATCATCGTCGTAGATTCGGATTGAAGGTCAACACGCACGCACACATGCAACACAAAGGGTTGGTATTGAAAATCGGTATTTTCCGGGGGTCCACTTCCACTTTCTTTGCAATAAAAAAAAAGTAGGGCGTAAGGAAAACATCAGCTCTGAATTAACGAGTCAATCCATCTACCGAAAGCCTTTATCTGGGTTTCTCCTTTTGGGAGAAAGCTACTTAGAAGCTAATCGTAAACACCAAGCCCATACTGAATACCTAGCATTGTTCGATATGTTGCGTTGGTTAGTGACTAGAAATACTGAAACTAGGTTTTTTACGATTTCTTCATCGTCTTAATGGGAAACGAATTACTGGCCAGTCAAAATTATTTCTTGGGTCGACATAATTAAGCAGCAGTAGCAGTTCCTTCTCAGTGCACTCCGGTTGATACTTCTTTTCAGTACTAGTAGCAAAACCGCCTCCGCATGGCATAGCAAGTATATTCAAATATCTAAGATACGATTATCCGTCGCTGCCGTCACCAGTAATCGAAATGTGCATTCCAAATCCGAATACAATCAACTGACACTCTGCTCGGAAAGCCTCGCCGACATAAGATTTCATTCAAAAGCGTAGGGATTTTACACTTTTTAGTGCTAGAGAATCACGAGGGAAACGTGCATCCAACAGATTGATTTTCACAATCGGATCACACTGTGAAGAAATTGAGCTGCCTACATCCTCCGCAGGCTTATCATACGCGGCACTATCGGTACCGCGAATAAACCCACGCGAATAAATCAACGAACAGTAAGTGCTTAACTCTTTTCACTTTCAGTGATCAACTAGAGTGCACATGGTGATGCAAACGATTTGAATCGGAATCGGAAGAAACCGAACAGAACAGCTGAATGAAGAAACTCCCGGAGCAGTGAAGCCTAAACGCAGTCAGTGAGTCGGCGTTTCTTGTTCTCATCATCCCAACCGGAATCCACCATGAAATTACAGACAGCGCACGCGGCCATCAGCACGTACAAAACCTTCGGCAACCAGACGAAAAATGCCAACACCAACCAGACGACGAGCAGTCTGCGTGGATCCGGCCATTACCACCAGGGACTGCAAAACAGTCGATCGGGAGCGAATCTGCACGGGAATGTCAACGTTATGCTCGGCGGGTGAGTAGTAGCTTTCAGATGGGTAGTGGGTAGTAGTAGTACAACTGTAGGATAATGTAAATCGGCATCATTCGGATCATTTTGATCCGCGAAAAAAAAATAACACGAAGACTTCTTCCTTTAGCGGAAATGCCTGTGTCATCAGCGAACAAAGATTTGTGGCAACCCTGAGGCAAATCAGGGAGGTCCGAAGTGAAAATGTTATACAATATAGGCCCAAGAATGCTACCCTGAGGAACTCCTGCTCTAACAGGTAGTCGATTAGATTTGGAATTTTGATAATTTACCTGCAGAGTTCTGTCAGTTAAATAATTTTGAACTAATTTCATAATGTAAAGTGGAAAATTAAACTTTTTCAATTTAGCAATCAAACATTCATGCCAAACACTGTCAAATGCTTTTTCTATGTCTAGAAGAGCAACTCCAGTTGAGTGGCCTTCAGATTTGTTTGAACGAATTAAATTGGTAACTCTTAAGAGTTGATGAGTAGTTCAATGCCCATGGCGAAATCCAAACTGCTCATCTGCAAAAATTGAGTTCGTATTGATGTGAAGCATCATTCTATTCAAAATTATTTTTTCAAAAAGTTTACTTATTGAAGAAAGCAAACTTATTGGACGGTAGCTAGAAGCTTCAGCTGGATTTTTATCCGGCTTCAAAATTGGAACAACTTCTGCATTTTTCCATTTATCAAGAAAGTATGCCAAATTTAAACATCTGTTAAATAATTTTACCAAGAAAGACAAGGTACTCTCTGGGAGTTTTTTGATGAGGATATAGAAAATTCCATCATCACCTGGAGCTTTCATATTTTGAATTTTTTTAGTTATAGACCTTACTTCGTCCAAATCAGTCCCCCAGGAATCATCAAAAATATTTTCCCGAAAGAAAATATTCCGAAAATCCCGAGCAACCTGATTCTCAATAGGACTAGTAAGACCCAAACTGAAATTATGGGAACTCTCGAATTGCTTAGCAAGTTTCTGAGCTTTTTCCAAATTTGTGATCAAAATTTTACCACCTTCTTTAAGCGCTGGAATTGGCTTTTGAGGTTTTTTCAAAATTTTTGTGAGTTTCCAAAAGGGTTTAGAACTCGGGTCTAATTTAGAAATATTATTTTCAAAAGTTTTGTTCCTCAGGGCAGAGAATCGCTTTTTAATTTGTTTTTTGCAAATCCCGCCAGATAACTTTCATGGCAGGATCGCGTGTTCTTTGAAATTGTCTCCTACGGACATTTTTAAGACGGATCAAGAGCTGAAGATCATCGTCTATTATAATTGAATCGAATTTAACCTCGCATTTTGGTACTGAGGCAGCTCTTGCTTCAACTATAGAAGTAGTCAGAGATTCAAGAGCATAATTAATTTCATCTTTGGTTTGCAAAGGAATGTTTGGATCGAAGTTATATTCCATAAATGTTCGATATTGCTCCCAATCAGCCCTATGGTAATTGAAAGTAGAGCTGTTGGGATTAGAAATTATTTCTTGGGATATTTCAAAAGTTATTGGAAGGTGATCAGAACCGAAGTCAGCATGGGTAACCAGTTGGCTACAAAGATGACATGAATCAGTTAAGATCAAATCAATAGTTGAGGGATTTCTTGCAGAAGAAAAGCATGTTGGGCTGTTTGGATATTGAATAGTGTAATAACCTGCAGAACAATCATCAAACAGAATATTACCATTGGAATTGCTTTGAGCATTATTCCATGAGCGGTGTTTTGCATTAAAATCACCAATAATGAAGAATTTAGACCTATGACGGGTAAGTTTCTGAACGTCACCCTTGAGAAAATTCTTTTGCTGGCCTACGCATTGGAATGGCAAATAGGCAGCTATAAACGTAAGTTGTCCAAATTTTGTTTCAACAGAAACTCCCAAAGTTTCAAAAACTTTGGTTTCAAATGAAGAAAGTATTTTGTGTTTGATTCGTCTATGAATAATGATGGCAACGCCACCACAGGGTCCATCGAGACGATCATTTCTATAAATTAAATAATTTGAGTCCTTCTTAACCTTATGGCCAGGTTTAAGGAACGTTTCAGTTATAACGGCAATATGCACGTTATGAACTCTCAAAAAGTTAAATAGCTCGTCTTCATTATCTTTAAGAGATCGAGCATTCCAATTTAAAATGTTTAATGCTTTAAAATCCATTACTAAATTTTAAAGTCATGACAATATTATTAGCAAATTTTACTCCAGTTTGAATAGCATCAAACATGGAGTTAGATTTAAGCATATCAGAAATCATGTCAATTAATGAATTCTGTAAAAATTCCATTTTAGGAGCAGTAATGCTTCCTAAGTCAAAATTGTCAAAATTTCCGTTAGAACGTTGGTTAGTATTTTGATTTCTACCCGCTGCAATAGCAGCATAGGTAGCTCCATTAACTCGCTGAACATTGTTAGCAGCGAGGGGAGTAGGTACAGATGAAACATTTGAAGCAGGCGTGATATTTGTACCTACGGGTACGAATGTAGAATTTGTTCCTCGCTGACCGTTGTTAACAGCAGAGGAATTTGTACCTGTTCGGAAACGTGGAGCGTTTCCTACCTGTCGGTTAGAACGAGATTGTAGGATCGCTTTGCGAGTCTTACATTCCCAAAAATTGGATTTGTGGTTTTCACCACAATTTGAACATTTAAATTTCTTAGGATCTTCCTTCACAGGACAGTCGTCCTTTGCGTGAGAGGAATCACCACAATTCATGCATTTAGCTGGCATGTAGCAATTTTTAGTTCCGTGACCCCATCCCTGGCACTTACGGCACTGAGTGAGGTTTTGGAAATTTCCTCCAGTCTTCCTGAAGTGTTCCCACTTCACTCGGACATGGAGCATAAGGCTAGCTTTTTCTAAGGCCTTAAGGTTGTTTAGTTCACTAGACTTGAAGTGAACTAAATAAAAATCATTAGAAATCCCGTTGCGAGAATCGCCAGGACGGGATTTCATTTTCATTTTGATTACTTGGAGTGGCACAACTCCAAGTAACTTTGCCAGTTCATCTTTGATCTGATCCAGAGATTCACCACTGGGCAGTCCTTTCATGACAACCTTGAACACACGTTCAGTTTTGGTGTCGTAAGTAAAAAATTTGTGCTTCTTCTCAGTAAGATACTTGAGAAGACATTTAAATCCGTCCAAGGTTTCAGCCAATACACGGCATTCACCCCGACGTCCAATTTGTAGTGAAAACTTAACTTTCACGAAATTCAAAAGTTCCATGCGAAGAGCATGGAAATCGGTAGTGGTTATCACAATAGGGGGAATCTTTTCCTTCTTGGCATTAAGCCGGGAAAGTTTACTAGAATTTTTCTTGGATGATGGATCATTCTCATCATCCGTGAGCAAATCAAATTGATTACTCAAATTAATTTCATCAGAAGGGGGTCAAGAGTTTGCCCCTTTCTTTTGCGTTTCGGCGCCATGGCGGCAGTAAATTTTTATCCAAATCGACTTCCAAGCAGATTACTATAAGAATCTGAAGGATCGAAGAGGAATTTTCCAAATCGATATCCAAGAAGGATTACCACGGGTAGGGTCCAAACAAGGATCGAAGAGGAATAAGAGGAGTTGAACATGGTAGAAAATTATTACAGGTTGAGCACTGAAAAGTGCTGTTTAAATTTGTTGTAGCTTTAGGTAGTAGTAACACTTCCTTAAGCAAAAAGCAAATAGATCCGCACGGCAAGAGATCACGATGCGGACTGAGTTAACACTGAACTGAAAGAGCTTTACAGACGGTGATTATCATTTTCAGAGGTGATTATTGGGCATACGGACGTTAGGCATAATGTACGATAGGCATAATGGACGTTTGGCATAATGGACGTTAGGCATAATCTACCCGATGAATTCCAGAAGGATGATAATGGGGACCGTCTATTGATTGCTGACTTCGGTGACAATAATGAAAGAGCCTTAGTTTTTGAAACTCATGAAAATTTGCGACGTTTTGGACAGGCAAAGTATTGGGTTAAAGATGGTACGTTTGCCACAGTTCCTTGTTTGTTTCGGCAACTCGTCACTGTTCATCGAAGTATCGCTCCCTCACATCAGCAGACGGTTCCGCTAGTTTTCATTCTGATGACAACAAAAACAGAATCGTTGTATCGAAAAGTCTGGGAGGAAATTCTGGAAGCAGCAGGTATGTTTTTTGTTATTGAATGAAAAACCACATAATTCAGCATTCTTCATTTCATGAGCTGTTCTTTGGCATCATCTTTTATTCAAACTTAGCTGTTTTTTTTTGTGATTGAATGAAAAATCACAGAATTCACCATTCTTTACTTCATGAGCTGGTCTTTGGCATAATCTTTTATTCAACCATAGCTGTTTTTTTCTGATTGAATGAAAAATCACAGAATTCCCCATTCTTTATTTCATGAGCTATTCATTGAGGAAAACCTTTTCTTCTTTGACAATTGCAATATGTGTGTAAGAATATATTACAACAAATGTGTGATTTCTTTATTTCTAGATGCGATTTATTTCAAGATATAGTTCAAAACTATGCTGAGTTTTCATTGCCAGATTACTTAACCGCTATCGCTACTAATCTTGGATCGAAGTAAATATGTAGCTACGTCACTTATGATATGATAAATAATGGATTCCAAACTGTGCTTATTAAGTAAACTACGTTTGTTTAACTTGCATCATTTTTTATTCAACACTTAGCCTAATTGTTTACCATGCTCGAAACAAGTTTCTAGAGTTGCACAGCAGCGAGGTATTTCATGCCTAACGTCCATTATGCCTAACGTATATTATGCCTAACACGTCCATTATGCCTAATGACTTTATGCCTAACGTCCGTATGCCTAATGGGGTACACTCCACTAAAACTTGTGATTTGCTAACGAATCACTTATATTGAATACAATTATTGCTCTTTTCATATATTTTTTTTAATTCCTTCAGTTTTCTAGGCGGCATGTTTTGCAGCAATTCTGCGTTACACCTTTACGATGTGCAATATGTTTTTCTGTGCTTAGAACACTTTGAATTTACTAAATGAAATCCCTGCTCACATAAAAATAATTATGTTGAGTAGTGACCCAGTGCGATTTAAAAACAAATTAGCCAGAAATCATATTTCAAGGACTACTTTCGATCGGACGAATATCCATTATTCGGCCTAAGATGGGACCCTTGGGTCCATATTACATTCATTTTCCTAAAAAGATCTCATGTGATAACAGTTAGTTTTTGTTATTGCTTATCGTATCCAATTGTAAACGAAATGAGAAGCTTATGTTAGCACGACTGTTGTCCGTGGAACTTTGTTGAGACATGATTAAAAATGCATATTGCGTCCAGATAAGGGACACATACCCTGTCATCCACGCGATTGATTTGTAAATAAATCAATTTCAGCACATTTCTCAAGGTCTGAGAGATATTGATTTTGACATTGAGGAACTTTTTTTAAGCGCTTATCGATATTGGTTGACATGAGAGAGAAGAAAAATGGAGTGCGTAACCAGATGAGTGGTCAGTACTGATAAGGTTTCTTTATTTGCTGGGGAAAAATCAGTAATAAAATCAGTACAAAATAAAAGGAAACGAAGGTGCAAGGTGGCCGTCAAATAACGTTGAAAAGCATGCATTAAAGATGAGACTTCTTTTCGCTGTTCTTAAATTGAAATTTGAAGCATGGCTTTCAATTTGACTTTCAAATATAACAATTTCATAAAAGTATTATAAGCGAACAAAAATCATGTAAAAAAATCAAAACAATACCTGGAAATATGTCTGTCGTCGAAACATCTCTTCCTACTCATGGAGACAGTGAGGTGGTACATACCTGGAAAACACAAACAAAATAATACACATGTCAGTTAGATCATTTCGATAATTATATGGTTAATTTTGTTATGAGGTTAACAAATGGACAAAAATCTGTATAAATATGAATACCGTGATAAAAACGTATTCTGAAATCATGCAATTTCATTAACTACCTTCCCACAGTAACTCTACGCCCAATCTCAAACTTATGAACAGTCACTCACAAATCAAACAACCCACGAGGTATTTCACGGAGCGTACACGCTTTCCGATCCTAACATCTTATCTTGAAAACTATGTAAACCCACTCAGCACCAACTCGCGTGACTTACTCGTTCCAACCAAGCGAACGGTTTGGTTCTAAATAGGTACTAAATCTTATGTTAAATGGCAAGACGAAAACAAACAAGTGCGCACACACTTGGTACGCCCGTCAAAATTCAAACTACATATACTTTTCTGTCTGTTTCGACTGACGCGCGTTTTCATCTCTTTTTTTTTTTTTGATTGAGGCAAACTAAATAATGAAATTTGTTGCCTAATTTTAGATCACTATCGCGTTACAAAACTTTTCTCATGGCTGTCAAGCTCATATCTATATCCACTTGGTGCCTGCCTAGTATGTTTGTTGAAAATGGGGCAAGCCAACACGCCACCACCCGAAGGAGTCTATTTGTTATGCAAATAACTTTAATGCTGGAAATTAAAAGAGGAATAAATTAATTTAGGTTATTTTTTTCCATTCACTGTCTCGCGCCCTGTCAGCACTCCGTCGGGCCACCACGTAGACAGGTAATGTCAAGAGTTGGAGTTTTACGTTCTGTGAATTGCACTGCCGCCGTAGGTACTTATGATGATGGTTGGGGTAATCGAGAATCGAGTGTGGAGTGTGGACATGGAAAACCGAGACAACAGTGCAGGATTATCGGTCGGATCGCGGTAAACTTAATTCCATTAGCAGCGAGCATGCAGCGGGTGGTTCTGTGCATCGCGTGCCGAAGATAAATGTTTGCCCGTCTCCCAAGCCGCACCGGACGCGATAGGTTGATAAGGCTTTGCTTTCGTAGAGGAACAGGGTGTAATACGACCATTTTTTAAGCATCAATTGATATGATAATTTCACCAAATGATAGATGATCCAGCCTAGTAGTTCTGGATGCAAACCCATTAAATTTTTGACTTGTAAAGTCCATGAAAAATTGCTGTTGGGTCATATTACCCTACGGACGCGTTTTCCCCCATTTTCCCCTACCAGTTTTCAACCTTGGCAGTTGAATCATACGTTTGACGATAGCGTCGTATTGGATGGAGTTAATTAGTCACTAAACTCGATGTGGAGTTTGACTCGGGTTGCAGCTGTGGATTTATTTTGATACCATGGTATGTGAAAATAAGTTCGTACCAAATGAAGTATTATGGAACGTCGCACGGTTTGCAGATTTTCAAAAATACTCATCATCACTCCCTCACACTCATTTTTGAGTGAAAAAACACTTTCTAAAATTCCATTCCATGACATTGCCGACAATAAGCATGTAACTGACAATGTATTCTCATCAAACAACTGGATACACAAATCCAATTCTGTAAACACGACTGGAATTTCAGAAAGAACAATGTTTGTCTTCATATTATAGATGCTGATCAAGAAATATGACAACATTTGCACAAGTGTGGCACAATGTCTGTAATTCAATCCATGACTAGTCGCTTCTCGATGGAAATTGCTGGTTGGTGCATAAGTTCAAATCATTCTTGGACAGGTTGTTCTCCATATTTAAAACATTGCGACGATTGTATGGAATATTTATGAAGTTGGAAATGAAAAAAAAAACCATCTAGTTAAAGCTTAAAACGACTTCTCAAATCAGCAGCTCCCGGACCAGAAATTTGTGGCATCGCGAGTGAAAATTTTAATTTCTGTTTATTTACGCGGTGATGAGAAGTGCGTTGATCTATTGTCAGGATTTTGAGATGTGCATTGCTTTTGTGCACGGAGTGACTTGAAAAAGAAAAGTGCAGAAAAGTGATATTTGGTTGTTGTGTGGTTGGAGTGGAGGGGAAAAAAATATGCGTGGAAGCATCGGGAATGCGCTCCCGGGTGAAGTGATTTGGTGAGAACGTTCCAGTTGAAGATTGTTGACAAGTGTATTTGTGGTGATGCAAATTATGGTTTAGATGACGCATGGCTTCAAACATTTTGTGTATCCAAATAAAACATATTACATACTAAATACGCACAGAGCATCGTCTGCTGACCATTGCCGCGGGTATATCGTGGGAGTCCCAGGTACCCGGTTCAAGCTTTAGTTGGCGGCGGTGGCTCTTCTTGACCTTCTACCCCCTGAGTAGTTAGTGTGAATAAGGGCGTCTATGTGATGTTTTGCTGTACCTGTTGTGGACATTTAGTGCATCCTGTTCCCTTGACTTGCTGAGGACACCCTGTCTTGCCTCAAAAGTTACCCTTTTTAAAGTACTAGTCTTCACAACATAAAGGGCACCATTACGGAGCATGAGATTTGATCAAATTATTCGCAGTTCTACTTGTCCAACGCCCCCGGCTGGGTGAGGGATAGAGGATGACACACACACACACACACACACACACACACACACACACACACACACACACACACACACACACACACACACACACACACACACACACACACACACACACACACACACACACACACACACACACACAAAACGACTTCTCAAATCAGCATAGTAGGGGAAATTGCTCTTATGTTGACCTATGGATATAAGATTGGGCCCATCGCCAAAAATCTGCTATTAATCAATTTTATCTAGATGAACACGTCAATGGGACGGCACTAATGGATATTTTTGGTCGCTATTGAAAATTTAGTCGATTGCTGAATTTATGTATGGGCCCAAATTAGGGGCATTTAGGCCGACATTACATCCATTTCCCCTACTTCAGATTTGTGTGAAAAGGACTCTTCCTCACCACTTTACCAATTTTTGGCAGTGTGATAAGTTCTATAAAGAAGCAATGGAAATGTAATTTTGAGCAATTATTTTGAAAATAAAACTGAAAAGCTAAACAAAGCCTGAAACAGACTGTTATATAATACCTTAATAAGCCTTACTGAATAAAGGTCTAAGGAAGCGTTTCTCAATCTATATGCCATGGTCATGTATTTAAAATATCGTGCCATCTTTATCTGGATTTAAAATTACAATCACAACCTGTTTTTGGTGGCAAGATTTAAAAATTTGCTAGAATTGAAACAAATTCTCAACTAAATTGATAGAAGCATTCAAATTGGGAGAACCCCCTGACGTAGTGGTTAGCATCCATACCTCTCACGCCAAAGTAACGAGTAAATCTCAAGTCATGAATAACACTCTTATGACCATAATTATAAATAAAAAGAAGCATAGAAATTTGCATGTAGTAGCCTATATGACCTGCAACTAACATATTTTTAGCAAACTGAATACACTAAGTTGTAAATAGTTGCGAATAAATTAACTTGCTAATGAATTGATGTTAAATTGGGCCAAAATAATAGAAAAAATGTGCGTTTCCTTCACAAACATGAAGATTTTTTTTTTATATAGCTTTATTAAGGAGACTTTCAGTCCTGGGCTGGTTCGTCTTCAGGCTACCAAGATGATGAACAAGCTTAAACAATAATGGGTACAAACAGGGCGAAAATCTGTTTTGTCACATTGTCAAAAACTTATAAGAGGAGCGATGATCATAAAAGTACCTGAAACAGAGAGGCCAGTTCACGGATTTTTCCCAATTTTCCCGGTTGAAACTAAAAAAATAACCCGGTTGTTAATAATCAGCAAAAAAAAACATGTTTTAAAGCGTGATCAAGTGCAAATTTTAGCGATTTGTGAGAAAATAATCTTCGGTAGCCATAGGCGGAACTAGGATGTTGAGCCAGGGGGAGGCATAGCCCTAGCTGACATGACATACATCATTAACCATCGGTAGTATGGGGGGATCTTCATTTCTACATTTAAATATCACGGGTGGTGAAAGATGTACCGTAAAAAGGGGTAACATTGATAGTTTTTTTTAAGTATATTCTAAATATGTTTTATATCAATTAATGTTTCTCAAATTTTAGTTTTTTTTAAACAAGTACTGAGGATTCTAGAGTCAATTCGTTAGTAATATAGTTAACGAAAATTATTGCATATGCACTATTTTTTAGTCTTGTCACCGAAAATCAGTATTTTGATTTGGGGTTACTTTGATTATGCTCGATGAATGTAGAAAAACATGCGTGAATCTCAAACAATTTAGTTCAAGAAATATGAAATATTAAATGAGTAGGGGAAATCTAATGTAAGGGCTCTTATGTTGGCCTATGGATCTAAGATTGGGTCCATCGCTAAAAATCTGCTATTTATCAATTTTGTCTAGATGAACGCGTCATTGGGACGGTACGAATGACTATATTTGGTTGCTATTGAAAATTTAGTCGATTGCTGATATGTATGGGCCCAAATTAGGGGCATTTAGGCTGACATTACATCCATTTCCCCTATATAATCAGAAGCACCATAAGCAATAATAAGACAACATTAAATTTGTGTTGGCTATATCAGAAATACATTTCATAAGTGATGGTTTGAGTGCTAAACAGGCAAAACGCAAGAAAATTGTTTTTCAATGTTTGGCAAACATGTAACACAAACTATATAAAAATGAAATGCAATATCAAGGGAAATACCCTAAGATACAGTATGGAACCAATGTTTCTAATTCGGAAAAAAAGACAAATGGTAAATTTAATCTTTACATTATACTATCAAAGTTACCCACATTATCAAAAATACCCCGTTGTACGGTACGCTCTTTCAAATTTTTTAAACTAAGTTACTACATAATTTCAGGGATCTTCTTGGAAATCAATAAAAATCCGCTTAGAAGCTATGACGAGATTGATTTCTGGGAACTTCGTGGATTGTTGGGAATCTATTTAAAAGTTTAGGGAATGTTATATAGATTCAAGAAACCTTATCTTC